TATACTATATTTGTTTTAATGTACTTGCTTAATACTTTAAATCCAATAATAAACATGAGAGATTTCCATTATAAATCTCTTCAGCAGCATGCATATTAATCATCATTTCTTGGAAATACATAACTGTAGAGTTGTGTGAAGTCAAATTTTCATGTGTAATACTAACATTGGCCAATAGATGCCCTAAGAGTTCTAAACACAAGAACTCTCAGAATTAAAATTGCGTATTTGAACATCAGCAATTTCATATGCTCTGTTTTCATAGTTCAGTTACACTTGTGAAATGGCACCATATTTTTAGATTTTAAAGACTCTTAAGATTACCAAACCCCAAATTACTTCCCCAAATTTATTAACGTAATAGAAGAAAGAACAGGAGACTTTTACAGAATTGATTTTAAAAACTAAATGAAGGCACCAATGCATCTGATCCATTTAAATTGTTACTTCTGATTTCATTAATGCAGCCAACACTATTGTTACTGTGCTGCAGTATGACTCTAAGGTTAATTTAATCACAGAAGCTGATCAGGTGGAGTTGTGAAATATTTCTTGAATTATCTCATACTTTTTTTTCTGATTTCAGTATAATTTTAAGCATTTTATATAACAGCTAGTAGCAGAGTAGACATGGAGCTTAATAATAGATGTCATTTTAATTATAGGTTTCAACTTCTGGATTATTTTAAGATTAAAATTTGTTCATAAAGAATAAAGGTTACTCAAACATATTTATTATATAATTCTAGCAAAATAGAACTATGTTTTTCTCTCTCTACTTTTAGTTCATGAAAATTTACTCTCATGTGGTTTTCTCTGTTAAGCCAATGACTAAATATTTTTTTCTGTGCTTATCTCCATGTCTAACATCCTCCTAATGAGGCTATCTAAAATTACGAAGATACATGCCGTATAATAATTTGAACCATTACTTAATTATATTTACTATAAAAATATTTCCTTAATTCATCATTTCAATTAACATTTCATTTTATAAAGCAGCATATTTTGAAACTACACAAGCCTAAGAATTCTGTTCATGAACAAATTAATAGATGCCAGCTGTTATTGAAACTTATTCCCATTGTTTACAAACTAGTATAAAAAAAGAAAATATTATTTACCAAGACAAAACAGAAACACAGAATATAACTTTAGAGGGAAACTCAGAGCAGTATCACTTGGAAGGTAGGAGAGTGTGCCTGTGAAAGAGATGATTAAGTGAGGAAGATAAAAAGTTTTACATGAAATCTAGAAAAGGTAATTTAAGCCTGAGTCAGTCTGCTAAATCTGTCTGTACATTTTCTTTTCTCATGATATGGTTATCTAATAAGCAGGTTTATTTTTCCCTCGAATTTAGAAGATAGACACACTTTATCATACAGAAAATGTTAGGCTTATCATGAAGAAAATATTAGGCACACCCACCACCCATAGTACAAACCTTTGATTACAATCTGTAGTGGTCTTTTGCATGGTCCATCACTATGTTTAATTATGAATTTGCTTTAGTCCCTTATTATTGCTGATAATGAGCAAAGTTATTCCTTAAAGCTTAATCTACATATTTTTATCCAATGTGGTAGGTTTTATCTTTCTGATTGAACAGTATTTCTTAAAGCATATTTAATTTTTTTTCTATTTAATATCACCTCAATGAAGATTAACATCAATGAATTCCTTGAACATCTATATTCATACTATGCATTTGTCCATGTGCTTGTAAAATTTGAAAAGTCTATTTACACAATGGAAATTAAAGTTCATATGTGCATTGATCTGAGAATTTGAATGACAGAATAGAGTTATATCTAACATTTAGCATGGTATTTTTGTGGAGTACCTCAACACTTTTATGAAATGAACCATTTAATGGTGAATTCAGATTTACAAATCAAAAGTTTTTTTTAAAGTGTATGATCCTATGTGCTAAGGTAAATATTAGTGAAAAAAGAACTGTATTCCCCATGATTTAATTTAGCAATCTCTTATATAAAATCAATGCAAATGTCTGGACTATGATAGAAAATAGATACAATTTAAAAAAAAAGACTCAAATTGCAACATGTTTTGAGAGTTTTACAACTCAAACTAATATAATCTCAAAATAGATTTAATTATTGCAAATATTGTTTAGATCACATATGTCTAATTGTAATGAAAGTATTCTCTATATCATTAATATTGGAGTTTTAATTCTGAAATCCTACACTTTATGTCCAAATTTTGAAGAAAATGCATTTGAAAATTCTCATTAGAATATGCTACCCCTACGCACACATTTGTACAAAGATATGTTTAAGATCACAATTCTAGGTTAGCTAAGAAACTCAGACATGATATGTATCCACGTTGTACCAAAAGAATTATAACATATTTAAATATTCTATGAAACAACAGATAGCTAGTAAACTGTTAAAATAGAACATTAAGATAAAATAAAATAGATAAAATGCATGAATGAAAATGAAGTATCAAGAGATGAAAGAAGGGAAAGAAGAAATAGAAGGAAAAAATAAGAGGAAATAAGAATTGGAAAATGTATATTTTCAAATGTCAAATATAGAATTTATATTTAACATTGTATATTCAACATTAGGAATCTCTACAAAAAGGCTAAAAGGTGAAAGCATAAATTAAATTTCATCCATTTTTTCTTAATAAAATTAATCTTTAAATGCTCTAACTATTCTTTAAAAACATTATATACATATATATTATCAGGGGAGAGCACCAGAAGTTAGATTGCAAACAACTTGGGATTTCTAAGAATCATATTTATACTTATGTTACAATCATTTTGCTCTCGTTAATTAGATAAGATTTGGGGGATTTAATGCTATGAATTTTTTTCTGGATTTGCTTTATTTTGAGCCCTCAAAATTACCTAGCAAAAGTATTGCATCTTAAAAGCCAGGCTCTGTGCACATGCCTGTAATCTCAATGGCTGGGGAGGCTGAGAAAGGAGGATTGTGAATTCAAAGCCAGCCTCAGCAATGTGGAGGCACTAAAAATCTCAGTGAGACCCTGTTTGTAAATAAAATACAGGTCAAATGCCCCTGAGTTCAAGTTCAGGTACTAAAATAATAATAATAACAACAACAATAATAATAATAATAACAATTATATATATATATATATACTTCATCTTTGCTTTTAAAAATAAACATGTTCTTTGCAACAAACCTCATAATTGACTCAAAAAATTAAATATACACTTATTATCTTTACAATATAATTCTAATATACTACAAATACATAAAATAATTGTAATTTAAAAAGAAGTTTATAGAGTCTGGTAGCACTATAGAAGTCCAAAAAATATGCACACTCAGAAAGCCACAATACAATGAGTTTCATAATTTCTAAGTGTTACAGCCTAATATGTTCATGTAAATTATCCAAGTTAAAATCCTTATGTATATATTGGTTTTGTAGCTTTTAAAATATTTTCCCTGAGTATATTTACTCAATATTTTAGTCATCTTTGCAATGATCATTTACAACTAAAAAGCCACTGTCTTTTTTGCATTCCTTAAATTTTATTGTTACTTTACAACTATTTTAAATATCTGAACAGTAATTAAATGCACGACTGCCTATGAAATATTGTAGTATTGCTTATATAGTACATGACTACTTACAGAGACCCATTCTGACTTCTTTTAATTTCAAACGTTGCAAGTGAAATTTACTTGGTACCTCTCTTAGCCTCCTATTGGCTCCTAGTCACCCCTCCTCTCTTCCAAACTAATTACCTTAAGATAATTTTTTCCACAGTCAGAGTAACCAGTAACTAAACACCAATTTATTTTTCTTAAGAGGAAAGTTCTTAAGATTTTGAATTTTAATAGAATTTTCAATTGTAATATAGAAATTTGATAAGTTTTTAAAATTCTAATATGGGTTCACAGAATGACAGATTATATAGAGAACTGTAGAGTTAATTTGATATAATCCTCATATTCTACAAAATCATGAACGTGATGAAACAGTATAAAAAAATAAATTGTCCTTAGTCACATTGCCATTTAGGACAGAACAAAACCCAGATTCCCTTAGGGCAGGGTACAATGAGAGCTCTCAATGCTTTATCTGCATTTATGTATGTTTATGCATGCTTCCACAAATAGTTTATTTCTTTAAATTTTTATTTCTTTTCCTTCTTTTTAAAGATGGTCTGAAAGTGATCTCATTTCCCTTTCATGTTTGGAAGGTAGTTTTCTGTTCCAGTTTCATCCCCAAGGCTTTTGAATAATAGTATGACTGCTTTGATTGAATTCATTGCCCCAAACAGCCTCATCACTGGAGTAAATGGAAAGATAGTGTCCACTAAACAAATGATAGAGATTTTGGCAGAATTTTTTAATGAATGTGTAATATACTCTACATATCTCTACAGTATATTTTCAAGTCTTCTCTGACATTTTGGCATAATGAAAACGAACCAGATAAAAGTACATGTGTTCTTTCCTAAAGAAACATACCATGTGTGCCATAGACTGCCTACTGAATCACTCAGTATGTGTGATGTGTGTGTGTGTGTGTGTGTGTGTAATGAGCAAGATAAAAATGCATGACACTTGTCAATTATATATTAATATGAAATAAGTAGCTGTCAGAGGAAAATAAAGAATTGCAGATTATCCAGAAGGTAAGAATTATGATCTAACATTATTAAAGTGACATTCCTAGAAATTTGTGTATTTGACAAACAAATGGGCAAGTTCTCAAATAAAACTTCAAAGAATGGGTTATGTAGGTGCAAAGCAGAAAAAAATGAAAGTTCCCTTAGAAGTAAAATTACTCCAATTTTTTCCCATTTAGTAATGATAAAGTAAGAATTTGGGGCTATACGACCATAAAGTAAGTTGATTAAAGTCCCTGAATACATCAATGAGCAGGTACAGTGTGACATTATGTTAGACTTCTGAAATATCATGACTCATATCAGTATGTGCGCCTTCTGATGGAAAACAATGTGTTAAATGCTGTTTTTTTCTTTTTTGAATAAACAACTTTATTTTGAAAAAATGCATTATCGAATTTAAGACAAATTAGACTTACATTTATATGCCCATTGCTTTGTACAAGTAAGTCATGTTAGCTGTAGTTGAATTGTGTGGACGGTATGTGAATAATGACCCTTCTGGATGATTGATTGTTTCAGTTCACTAAAAGTGTTTGTTTACAAGTTTAAGCAGTCTGTGGAATCTGGCATGGCAGGCACCCTTTCTCTTGCTGTCAAAGCTCTTAGAGCTTCACTGGGA